TACCGGCCTACCCGCTACTTGAGTGCTTTTTCCCTGCTGCAACCCTTCGAAGCCACGTCCACAGGTAAGTACCGGCCCTGAGGGCCCAACGAACGAACAAGTGCCCTGGCGGGCCACACACACACACACACTCATACCAACCAGCACTCAGACAGGCATGGTCACACACGCAAGCCAACCAGCACTCAGACAGACATGCAGTCCAGCAAGCACACACACACACAGACTTAGCAGGCGGGGAACTCAGTAGGGCATTCAGTCTATGAGCAAACTCAGAAAGAGCTACCAGAGTCATATGCCATCATAAACGGGTAGATGTATGTGCGGCATTCTGGGCATGCGAGGATCTGATAAATTATTATTGGGGAAGCTATGCGGGAGTCACAAAAACGAGTTATAATTGCACGACGGGCCAAGTTACCGTTTCAAATTGCAGTTCGGGCAATGTATACAACCCAGCTTTCTGGCCAGGTAGGGTGCCCAAAGTGCGATTGCAAACTGTATCTTGCCCCATAGTGCAATTTTAACTCATTTTTGTGACTCTACGGAAGTTACCCCATTATTATTATATGCAACGGATGTTTGCGCATACCACTAGCATGATGTCTCTCTATGCATTAGGCGCTTGTAGCTGGATATTCTCAACTCCTAGGGATAAGACCGGAGAGTTTACCAAAGTACCACAATAGAGTCGCGTGTACTTTCAGACCCAACTGGAAGAGCAGCCACGAGAGTCATATGCAGTCATAAATGAGTACATGTCAGTGTGGAACTCTCGGCATGTCAGGACCTGATAAATTATCTGCAACAGCAGTTTGCACATACCACTGACATGATGTATCTCCGTGCATTAAGTGCTGGTAGCTGGATATTCTCAACTCCTAGGGATTCAGCAGCTTCCTTGACTGTCCTCTCTCGTTCAAGACAGGCCTTTACATCATCCCTTTCTCTTGTATCCTTTCCATCATCCCCCCCAACCTGTTCATCTGAAGTTGCCTCTCTTGGGCCCTTGATATCTGATACTGTGAATTTGAGCCCCTCTGCTGCTGTTCTCATCGTCAGCAACCCAGCCCCTTCCGTTCCTTCCCTCGTCATTTTGGCATGCACATTCACATTGTCCTCCTTTCTCAAACACTCAGACTGAGATTCGCCACTAACTTCAGTCCTCCTACCCTCTTCTTCCACCAGTCGAGCTAGTCTAGTCTTCACAGCAGACATTGTCCCTGCAAGTGCTGCACCAGAGTCCATATCTCCCACTGGCTGCATTCCAGCATCACCTGCATCTCCTGATACCACTTCAACACCCTGAGTTTCAGAATGCGCCTCCTTCCTAGAATGCACAGTATTCACCATGTCACCCTCTTCGCACCCAACATTTGCCAAGGTAGCCATTTTCCAAATTCCCTTTCCGACATCATGTTCATCCTCAATCATTCTGCCACTGTGTGATGCAACCACACCAGTTCCTCTACTACTATCCTCACATTCAACGACTGTTTCATTCTTCATCCTCTCCCTCTGCGCATGGAGTCCCTCATCATTCTGTGCTTCAGTCGCCATTTCTGGCATCTTGCTTACAGCCCACGGCGCAACCGAAAATGCTACCCCCTGCCTTTCTGAGCTTAAAACATGCATACTTCCCACACTCCCATTTCCCTCAGGCCATGGCTCCTCCAAACTCGCATCAACCCCTCCACCAGCTGAGCATTCAAGCAGTATATTCGTTACTTCAAGTAGCTTGCAGTCACCTGCAGATCTCTGAAACACACCCGCCTCACCTGCAGTTCCCTGAAACACGCCCACCTCCTTTTTTTCACAATCAAGCCGAAGCAACTGCCCTTCTTGATGCCTCATATCTGAGCCACTTTCCACATAATGGTTGTCGTTGGTGGCAGCACATGTGGCCTCAACGTCAATAGCTTCTGACTGCACACGGCCTCTAACTTCTTCATGACTGTGGCAGCTTCCTTCTCTGGAAGCTTCTGCTGACCCTTTCCCTTCTGCCACATTCTGTCCATGGCTAAATTGCTTGCCGCCTGTAGCAATTGTGTGAACTCCAAATGCCACCAATTGTTGCTCTTCTATGCCACCATTAACCTCTTCGACTTCTGAACAGTCTGCTTGACAACAATCCGCTTCTGCCCCTTGTCTCTGTGCCGCAGCCTCCCCCTGACACCACTGCTCACTTTCTTCAGCAGATACATGCATTTCCAAGCCCAGAACCGTTTTCTGCTCCTCATCATTTTTCCCCACATGTTGTCCTCCTCCAGGTGGAAAGCATACTTGACCGAGAACGTCTCCCACCTCTTGCCTTAGCACAACAACTGTGATCCTCTTCGCCGCTTCGGTCTCAATGTTATGATTGCTTCCTTCCTCAGGTAAACTGCCAGCTCTTACAGGAGCCTCTGCAGCTCCTTGTATGCCCACCCCACCATTCCCCTGTGTCACTTGTTCAGTTTCTGTCGAAGTTGCTTCAATTGCCACCATAGATGTTGCCTTCATCTCCTCACTACTCTCATCTTGTGGTTTTGTCAAACCTTGATGATTAGATAATAGGATTTCTTCTCCTCTGGCATGCCTTAGCTGTGCCTTGGTGGCATCTCTTTCTCCTGCTTCAGAGTCCATTTCCCGGCACATCATCTCCTCGCTTCCCTCCCACCGCCTCTGCAGTCCATCCAACTGTCTACTTTGCTTCTTAATCCTGTCTTCAAGTTCAGTAATTCTCTCCATCGAAATCTTCACCTGTTCTTTGAAGTATGCCGAGCAATCCAGTGCTTCCTTCTCACGCTTTGCTGAGTCCTCCAACTTTCTACTTTGCTTCTTAATCCTATCTTCAAGTCCAGTAATACTCTCCGTGGAAATCTTCACCTGTTCTTTGAGGAATGCCAAGCGGTCCAGTTCTTCAATCTCACGCCTGGCTGAGTTCGCCGCTCTTAATCGCATGCTCTCTAGTTCCAAGGCTAGTTCACATATCTGCTTTGCATTCTCCTGATCTTTGACCTCAAGCCCAATCACTCGTTTCCTCGACCTCTGCAATTCGTCGTGGATACACTGGACTTCGGCCACTACCTTCGCCTCATGCTCTTCCTTCAGTTCAAGCTCAGAGCCGAAATGACTGCTTTGTTCTTTAAGTATACCTTCAAGTTCACTGATTCGGCCCTCTGACATCTGCAATTGCTTTTTGAGGTGTGCTGACTGCGTCGCTACCTCCTCCTCCTGCCTAGCTAACTCCTCCGCTTTCATCTCCATACCCTTAAGTTCACTGGTAAGTTGAACTATCCTCTTCTCACGTTCATCATCTTTAACCTTGAGCTCAATCACTTGACTTCTCGCTCTTTCCAATTCCCCACGGATGGACCTTGTTTCTGCCACTGCCTTCGCCTCCCGCTCTTCAATTTGTTCAAGCTCTGAAACCCTCTGTGATGCTAGCTCAAGTTCCACTTCAATAGCTTGAACTTTCTCTTCACTCTGTTCGAGCTGCTGCTGCAGCTGCGCCAATCTTTTCTCAGACTCCTCAAATCTCTGCTGCACACAGCCTAACTCGTCCTTCGCCCCTTGAAGCACTGACTCTGCAACTTCCCGCAGCTTCCGCTCCTCCATCTCCTTCTTTTCCAGCCTCTCAATTTCCCGTTCCATATCAGTCAGCCCTCCTTCAGCACCTAACTTCTCTGTCATTTTACACAACTTGGAGTTTATCATCTCGGCATGTTGTTCAGCCTTGGCTGCTCTGTCTTTTTCACTTTGGGCTTTTACAAGTGCACTCTCTACAGCCTTCTTCTCCCTCTCCACACTTCCCCTCAGAAAGCGCACTTCTGCATCCACACTCTCACGCAGCTTCCTCTCCTTATCCACCTTCTCTCGAAACACCTTTACCTCCACCTCTGCACGCTCTCGTCCCATTCTCTCTTTCTCGACTTTCTCCTTCAGCGACCGAATCTCCACTTCCATCTTTTCCAGTGAGTTCGACTCTGCTTGCCCTTTCTGGCCTGCACGTTCTGCAGCCAGAGCAGCACAAGGATCCCCTGCGGTTAGGTGACAGGTGGTTAAGACGAGCTTCAAATGAACCCCGTCACCGACAAACTCATCAAACACAACAAGATGCATGCACAGCTTGTCGTCCACTTTAGTTAAGCGGACCAATCAACATAGAAATGGCAATCAGAGGCAAGCAGGACAGAGAAACGGCCAGAAAAGCAGCCGGCCAGACTATGGTCAAAGCACATCAGAGGACGAGCAGAGGGGTGGTGGGGTAATGTACTTCCGAAGGACTGCTTCTTTGCTCCCACGTAGTCCAGGTCGTTCTCAGCATACCTGCATGGCATGAAGCACATATGCCGTCCGGGACTTACAACCATTGGCTAAAGCTCTAAATAAATGCTTCCAATTGACCGTGCTAATGAACCTGTACCTGCTGCATAGATGTCTCTTCCTCCCTAACTGTCCCTCAAGCACCAAACATGCAATCTCCATTAAGGCAATCAAAATGGAACTGCCTAACCATGTTAAGACAAATGAATTTTCTCCAGTGAGTTTCCTTCAGCGGACCCCGACCTGCATCAGATGGTTGGAGCAACAAAATTTTCACCCCGGTAACATTCAGCCTTTCAGAGCAGAGGTCGAGAACTCCTAGAATCACCTTGTGACGCAGTGAAGCTGAACATTTGGTAACGTCACCTTCTATAACCCAAGTCGCACTCCTGAATGTTCAGTCTACACGTGGATCATCCCTGAAACACTGAGTGCACATAAAAGAACCAGGGTGCAAACCATGTCGTAAGCAACACAGATGACACTCCCCTTACTCTAGGCTCTGCGCTCTTCTACCCCTGGATACCATATGTTACACACTATGTCCCTGCAAGGCCAATGAGCCTATATTACCCATAGAAAATTGCCTGCTTTGCTCACATTTAAGAAACACTGTTTACCAACATTATCTTCTTTTACTATCCTAAGTTTTGATGACCCTTTCGCTTCAATGCTTCTGTGTCCATCTATCTGAACAGATATTCCTTTCCTCCATTCGTTCATTGATGTGCTGCTGTTGCATCCCGTAACGGTACAGACCAGAACAAGAACCGACCTCTCTCACATAGTACAGGATAGCGCAGCAAGGCTAAAACACGAATGATCAGACCAATCAATGTCGCAATGCAGATCAAACATACACCATCATCATCACATGGTGTGAAGGGGCCTGGCGCTCACACAGGAAGAATGCGCCAGTCCCCAACCATACACAGACGAAGAGGAGGGGGATCAGATGAAGAAGAGGGGGGAGATGGGAAT